GAGCAGGGAGCCCGATGCGGGACTCGATCCAGGGACTCCAGGATCATGACCTGAGCCGAAGGCAGACGCCTAACGACTGAGCCACCCAGGCGCCCCTCAAATAAATAAAATCTTAAAAAAAAAAAAAGGAGACTAACTGGTCACTTGGCAGCAAATGGACTACTTGGGACCATTTTCATCCTGGAAGAGGCAGCGGTTTTTCTCATAGGAATAGAAACTTAATCTGGGTATGGGTTTGCCTTTCCTGCCAGCATGATCAAGCCACTTACAGAATGCCTGATCTACAGACATGAAACAATATAGTATCTAATCAGGGAACTCATTTTACAGATCCACTGGTCATGTCATACACTGTGTCATCCCGAAGCTGCTGGCTAAATAGAGTGGCATGGCGTGCTGAAGGTACAGCTGCAGCACCAGGCAACACCCTGTGAGGATGGGGGTCCCATCCTCCAAAACATGTATAAGCACTGAATTACAGAACTTCATGTAGCACTATGGGGAAGAATACATGGGTCCAGGAACCAAGGAGTGGAAGCAGGAGAGGCCTCACCATCATTTTGAATGACCAACTGAATTCTGTAAGGTGAGAGGTCCTGATCTTCAAAACGAAGTATGTTCTTGTCATGAGATAGCAAAGATCTCATTGAACTATAAGCTACAGCTGCCACTTGGACACTTTGGGCTCTTTGTGGCCAGAAAGTAGCAGGCAAGAAGAGCAATCACCACCTTGTCAGGGGTGATTAACACTCATCAGCGGGAGGAGGCAGGGCTGTGTTACATGGTGGGAGCGGGGAGGAATGTGCATTGAACCCTGGTGACCCACTGGATGCCTCCTGGTACACTCTTGCCTAATTGTGACAAATGTAATGATGTAGTAATGGAGGCTATACACAGGTAAGGTCACCAGGAGTTCAGACTCCTCAGGAATGAGAGTTTGGGAAACACCACCACGTGAGCCCCACTAAGGTCAGCAGAGTGAGGGACTTTAGAACAGACCGTGGAGGAGAGAGATGATGAGTACCAGTTTTGGCCATGAGATTGACCACAGCAGTGGAGGCTACAGTTTGTCTCTTCACCTCCCTCTTCTAAATTTCCCCCCAGGAAGAGGGGCCGACCAGAGCCCTGGAGGAGCTGCTCCCCAAATATGTTATGAAGTGGATCTACGGAGCACACAAGGTAAACTGTGGCAGATGTGGAGATGTGGCAATCAGATCATCCTTTAAGAAAGGGCTTGCTCTGGGGTGCTTGGGTGGTACAGTCGGTTAAGTGTCTGACTCTTGGTTTTGGCTCAGATTGTGATCTCGGGGTCATGGGATTGAGCCCCACATCAGGCTCCACACTCAGTGGGGAGTCTCATTGAGATTCTCTCTCCTCTCCCTCTGTCCCTCCCACTCATGCTCTCTCTTTAAAATAAATAAATAAATCTTAAATTAAAAAAAAAAGATTCACTCCACATCTGCAAGGAATGTGGTTAGCTCAGTCTCCAGCTGTTTGTGTCTTCAGAGTCAACTTCAGGTTATCATCCTATGCGTTTCTCAGGGTGGTCCCCAGTCAATGACTGGGCAAGGCCTAATCATTTCTACTCAATGGGGGAACTTCTTTAAGGAAAAATCTTTGCTCTGGAGCTCCCTATTAGGATAGTCTGCCCAATCCTGCTTCTGCCCTTTTTCTTTTACAGGTGTTAACCCCTCATGAACTTTTGCATTTTGACTTCTTTTTAGTGTCTGCTTCTGAGAGAATCTAATTGGGACAGATGCATGCATTAGGCCCCTGAACTCCATTCTTTCATTCCCTGTTACCCGTCCTGGAATGTGTGACTAAGTAATCAGAACTGCTGTTTTCTCACGTGTAAAATTAAAGATTTACTCCTTTCACAAGTACATTATATGATTGTTGTGAGGATAAAATAAATATGTGCTGGAAAATCCTATGTAATTTGAAAACTCCTATGTAAATGGTTACAGTTTTTATTAAAGGCCTATAGAGTTAAAGCATTTCCCAGAGTACCTAACAATTCTCAATAGTTAAAAAAACATTCACAAAGAAAATTATTTTCAAGTCTTTTCAAGCTGGTAAGGTGTATGTGGTTTTCTATGGTGTTACTTATTCCTAAGGACTAATTTTTACACTCAGAGATCTTGCTTGACAATCAGATACATACCTAGATAAAGAATTGTAGAGTACTACAGTAACCTGCCATGGGAATTTTGGTTTGTTTCTTTTCATTTCTAGGATAACAATTACTAAGACAGAGGAAATGAGAAACATTGAACAACCCTTTTGACAAAACACAGCGGTCAGAATCTTTGGGGAAAAATACTTAAAACCTGTGTGACCATGAAACAATTTTTTCTAGCACTATTGTGATAAGACATAATTTAGTATCTGTGGATAGATATTGCAAGTTTTAATATATATGTAAGTAAAAATATTTCCTATAAATATATTCTTTTAGTGCTCATTCTTGGTATTCAAAGTTATCTATAATGTATTACAAGAAGAGAGCTAGTGATCATGTCATCACTTTTTATCAGAAAGACTTTTAGCGGTAGCTTTTTAGCAGAAAAGACAGGTAAATTTTCCGTGATAAGATATCGTTTGCTTAGCTGGTGATACAGGTTTCGAAAGTTGTATCTCTGATTTGCATTTGAGTGTTGGCACAAGTTCAGTTACAAGCTTTGAAAATTTGTGGTTCCACATACAGAATTGTAAAAAAAAAAAATTTAAAAACCTGTCCTTTTACCTTTTTGCTCATCCTGCCCAAAGTAATTTATTTTTTTTCTGGTCCAAGCAGATCTACAGTCTACAATGTCCATCTGAGCGACAGGGCAAAAATTTTTGGCTGTTTATTCCGATGTCAGTGTACTCAAGTAAGTGTAGCTGACAATGCACCTTTAATCCAAATGGTTTTGCATAATTTGAGAAATATGGACAAAGGTAAAAGAATAGGGGCGCCTGGGTGTCTCAGCTGGTTAAGCGACTGCCTTTAGCTCAGGTCATGATCCCGGAGTCCTGCATCAGGCTCCCAACTCAGCAGGGAGTCTGCTTCTCCCTCTGACCCTCTCCTCTCTCATACTCCCTCTTTCTCTCTCTCAAATAAATAAATAAAATCTTTAAAAAAAAAAAAACCTAAAAGTAAAAGAATAATTCCCATTGTACTTTATTGTGGATGCAGAATACCTGCACTGTGAATTGGGAGCTAATATGAAAGCGAATGCCAATAATATAAACTAGATTATAGGGCAATTTAAAAAATGTGTTTCATCATAGTTCAGTATAAATAACAGAATTCTTCAAATTTACATGATTTTTTTTCTATGTGCATTCTGGGCTCTCTGATAATTGAATACAACTTCAAAAGGGGTTAAGCCAGTGACCTCAAAACGAAGTTCCCAGAACAGTACACAATGATGAAACCTGAAGCAATAAAGCGCCGCTGAACTGAAATGTAAACATTCATACTATTAGGACATGACTCAATTTTCACTTGATTTAATTTTGTTTTGGAGTCCTATTGGGCTGTCTTCGGACACCTCCCTTTCATATCTTAAATTGTGTCTCAAGGGTGTTAGAGAATTCAACAGTCTGGGACATCCCAATAACGTTTAGCACATAGCTCGTGTTATGTTACAGAGCACTTTTCCGAATATAGGCGTTACCTATACCGACTCCCCCCGGGCGAAAGGAGGCACATTTACATTTCAGGGTCCCTTTGATTGGCTGGAGTTGGAAAAATCTCAATTCCTACACTTTTTTCCCCCAGGAAGCTCAGAGGCCATTTGTCCCGCAAAGCACACGTACCACGCTCACCGTCTTCTGAACCGGCAGCCTGCGAAGAGCCTGCCCAAGCCGCTGGGAAAGGAGGCTGCGCGGAAGGAAGGAGTCCGGCCCGCGGCCGTTCGCGGGCGGGGGACGGGGGACGGGGAGGGGCGGTGCCGGCGCGCGCGCGGGCGGGGCGTGCGCGCCGCCGCCGCAGCCGCGTCACCAGCGTGCGGCACGTGCCCGTGTTTACGTCCCTCGTGGAGCAGCCTACGTCAGCAGCCAAATGGCAACATTGTGGCGATACTGAGGGTTACAGTTTAGGAGACGCGTCTATCCGTCAGGCCGGCTCCGGGCGGTCGGGAAGAGGAGGAGAAGGAGGAGGGGCGGGGAGATCGGCCTGGACGAGCGGCAGAGACGCACACATCGCCGACCCCTACTGCCTAACCGGCCTGCCCGGCCCCGCGGGACCCGCTCCTCACCTTCCGAGAGCCACAGACGCAGCACCGCGGCCTCGCGCTGGGGGCGGCCGGGACGGGCGCGAGGCGCTGCCGCAGCACTGGGCTTGTAAACAGATTCAGCCGCACGTGACCATGTGAACTACCTGCTCCGGGGACGCGTATTGTCTTTCCCGCGAGCCGCGCCACAAAGGAGCGCGGCGGGTTCAAGTGAGGAGGGCCGGGCGAGTAAGCGGGGAGAGCCGGCTGGCGCGCTAAGATGGCCGAAGGCGCTCAGCGAGGGTGAGCGGGGGGCGCGGTGCAGCCAGCCGGTGAGTCTTCGAGCGGGCAGGGCCAGCGGCGCTTCCCCCGCGGCCTGGCACCGGAGCCACCATGTCGTTCTCGCTGGAGGAGACGCTCGAGTCGGACTGGGTGGCCGTGCGGCCCCATGTGTTCGACGAGCGCGAGAAGCACAAGTTCGTCTTCATTGTGGCCTGGAACGAGATTGAGGGCAAGTTTGCCATAACCTGCCACAACCGGACGGCCCAGAGGCAGAGGAGCGGCTCCCGGGAGCAGGCGGGGGCACGAGGGGGCGCTGAGCCCGGAGCACCCGCGTCGGACGGGACCCGCGGGCCAGGCAGCCCAGCGGGCAAGGGCCGGCCCGAGGCCACTGCCTCTGCGACTCTGGGTAGGAGCCCGGGGCCCCGGAGGAGCCCGGCCTGGGGGGAGGGCGGCTCTCCGCGGAGCGCGCGCAGCCTTCGGGGCGACCCGCTGCTGCGGTGTCCCGCCGGCAAAGGGGCGGAGAGCCCCCTCAGGAGCCCAGTGCGGGCCAAGACCAGCCCGGTTCGAAGGAGATCTGAAGGCAAAGATGTGGCGGGGGCCGCTACAGCAGCAGCCCCGCCGGCGTCCAGGGAGGCCCCGGTGTCCTCCGTGCGAGTAGTGAGCACTTGTGGGGCGGTTTCCGAGGAGATAGAGGTGCTGGAAATGTTGAGGGAGGACGAGGTGGCCCCGGCGGCCCTGGCGCTCTCAGACACAGAGCAGCCGCCTTCCACTACCGAGCTGGAGTCCCCGGCCGAGGAGTGTAGCTGGGCCGGGCTCTTCTCCTTCCAGGATCTGCGTGCTGTGCACCAGCAGCTGTGTTCTGTGAACTCGCAGCTGGAACAGTGCCTGCCCGTATTCCCCGAGGAGCCCTCTGGCATGTGGACCGTGCTGTTCGGGGGCGCTCCAGAGATGACCGAGCAGGAGATCGACACTCTGTGTTACCAGCTCCAGGTCTACCTGGGCCATGGCCTGGACACCTGCGGCTGGAAGATCCTCTCCCAGGTACTTTTCACTGAGACCGACGATCCCGAGGAGTATTACGAAAGTCTTAGCGAGCTGCGGCAGAAGGGCTACGAAGAAGTGCTTCAGCGGGCCAGGAAGCGCATCCAGGAGGTAAGAACCTAGTCTGGGCTCCAGTCATTGCTTTTGGGTACTTACTGCTGGAGGCTGGAGCCTCAGTCCGGGCTGTGACAATTTGGGAGACTTTTTCTTCTGGACAGGAAAAGCGGAAGAAGATGGGTTCCTTACCAGTCAGCCCCTTAATTCCTTTCAGTGGTGGGAGAACCGTGGCTTTTCTTAATTGGCCCTCTGAAGGAACTTTAAGTCTTTAGATTTCCTCTTCCCATTCATCAAATAGGTTCTGTATAATAAGTGGTGTGTTTACTACTCAGTGCTGCAAGTAAGATTAAAGCCACTCAGAAAAAAGGCGACCCAGCATTCGTTTCTCTTTTGCCTTTCCATCAGTAACTTTCCAGATAATTAACCCTACTTTTCTGATGTCCTGTTCGTTTACTTAAAATATATTTGTCGCAGGGAATACAGTTGGTCTTTTTTTTAATCTCCGTTTGTAGTTTGGCAACTTAGGCAAATTTTGAATTCTATTTTCCTTCAAATGAGTAGACTGTCCAAATCAAAAAGCACCATATGAATGTATTTTTTAAAGGCGTATGCATAATCTCGAGTCTTTATAGCTGGCTGATGTTTAACTCTTGTTTTAGGGAGAAAAAAAGGTCTTGCGCAGGAATGTTTATTATACTTTGTACTTGTAAAAGTAGTACAAAGCATTTTCAAACTACTTTATACTTAAAATTACAGGAAATAATGGAAGAGGTCTGCATGGGTATATATGAGGAGGTCCATGGTTTGTAGGATATACATAATTTGAGGTCATGCCTACCCAACAGCTTCTGCTGAAAGAACTGTACCAAAAAAAAAAAAGTATTTTAAAATATGGTTTAGTTTTTGGGTCACCTGACTGGCTCAGTCAATAAACCCTGCAACTCTTGATCTTGGGGTTGTGGATTTGAGCCCCATGTTGGGTGTAGAGATTACTTAAAAAATCTTTAAAAATATATATATACTTTAGTTTTCCTAATGGGCACGAACAGATACTTCCTCAAAGCTATTATTTTTAGTATTAGTACCAGTTGAGGTTAGAGGTGGCGTCGGGAAATGCCCCTTTTTATGGTGTTTATATTCCTGACATTGTATTGTCATCTGTTAACCTTGCCTGTGTTTATAAAGGACTCGAATCCTACTATTAAGGCTAGGAAGCTCGTACCTCCTTGTTTCTGCATGGAATCGCCTGTATTTTTCATTGCTGGATTTGAGGCATAAGGAATTTTTTTTTCCTTACTTAACCCACAGTGCTCTCCTACAACTTCCTGAATCCAGGTTTTCACTCTTTCCTGTTAGTTTACTTTGTGCTAAGCAGCACCCACCTGGTAATGCTATCCTAGAATCCTAGGGATGTTTTTATTTCCCTCTTTTCTTTTTATTTTTTTTTAAGATTTTATTTATTTGATAAAGCGCTTGTGTCCATGCAAGAGGTG